GCGTATACTTTTTAACTATAATTTTAGGAAAGAATAACTCTGTTTGGCGATAGTCGCTAATTAATAAGCTAACTCATAAAATTTAGGCTACATACAATTACTTACTTATCAAGGAAAGTGCTATGCAGTTTACTGTAAATTTTAAACACTTAAATTTAATGAACTAGCTGGCAAACGATTATAATAAAAAGCTTCGTTAGAAGAAAACGAACGTTGAAACATGGCACTCTGATTGGATGGAATCGACAGTTTATGCCTGTTTGAGCAATATAACGGGAGATTGAATAAGAGTTTCCACATTACAATCTGAAATATTTTTGAAACGCTACTGTATTTGTTTATTATCATATGAGATTTCTAACCTCAAAACATAAACAAAATTAGTCATGGAGCAATGTACGACTGAACAACGTGTAAAAATTGTGCAAGCCTATTATGAAAATGGTTGATCAAGAAAAAATGCATTTCGGGCTCTACGTGAATTGTTCGGCGCGCAAAATCGACCTTCTGAGAGGACAATTTGGAATGTGGTTCAAAAATTTGAGCAAACTGGATCTGTAACTAACCTCAAACTCCCTCAACAAGTGCTCGTGCAGGTCGGTCAGATCAAAATATTGCCATTGTTCGCGAAAGTGTACCCGAAGATCCAAATACATCGATTCGTCATCGATCGCAGCAAGTGGGCTTTACGTATTTAACCACACAGCGAATTTTAACGAAAAACTTGCATATACACCCATATAAAGTCCAAATAACTCAGTGTTTGCAGAATGGATACGAGAACAAGGGGTTCGTTTTTCAACGAAAATCATCTTTAGCGACGAGGCACATTTTCACGTTCGTGGCTTTGTAAACAAACACAATGCTCATATTTGGGGATTAGAAAATCCAAGAGGGATCGTTCAAAAAGCTATGCATCCTCATAAAGTGACTGTTTGGTGCGAATTTTGGTGCGGAGGAATAATTGGCCCTTTTTTTTCGAGGATAATGCGGAGAACGCTGTTACGGTTAATGGTGTTCGCTATCGAATCATGATATTTGATTTTTTTCTGGGAGCAGTTGAAAGGTATAGACATTGAAGATTTGTGGTTCCAACAGGATGGAGCCACTTGTCACACATCCAGAGAAACGATGCAATTGCTGCGGGGCAAGTTTCCTGGTCGGATTATCTAACGTAACGGCGATATCAATTGGTCGCCGCGATCATGTGATCTTAGTCCCCTAGATTTTTTTTTTTGGGTATCTAAAAAGCAGAGTGTATAGAAATAAACCAAACACTATTCCAGAGCTGAAACAGGAGATTAGACGCAAAATAGCCGGCATAGAACCTGAATTGTGTCAAAAAGTGAAAAGGGAATTTCAATAAACGAATTACGTCATGCCACAAGAGTAGCGGGGGTCATTTGAATGACATCATCTTTCATACCTAATTGTAATACACTAATCTAAAATGGCAAATAAAAATGTTTGTATATTTTTATATTCTTAGGAGTTTTTTCTATTATTTTAATGTGGAAACCCTTATTGAATCACCCTTTATAATAATAGTGGTTTGAATTATTTTATTTAAAAAAGTGCTAAAATTATGTACACGTCTAAAATTCATGATAAGCCATTGCAAGTCGTTCAATAGATTGTATTAAAAAAAGATTGCACGTTAAATTCAATTATTTTGAAAATATCAGGTGACCATTGTCAACTTTAACTACTTAAATGATGTTTGCTTAATTCGCAATTATCCTCTCACTTAATATTATAGGTTACGTAATTCCAGATAATTTTTTCCTTATTAAAATTTCGATTCCATTCGAATCGAAGAAATTGTTATTCTTTATCCTAAGTTAATATTTTCGGGAGTGAAAAACTTTTTTTTTAATTGTATTTTTGAGTATGCCAACGGTTCTTCGAAAAATGAAATTTATTTTTCAAAACCCGAAAATTGTGAAATTGCGTTCTAAATATATCGGGTGACACAAGAAAGTGGGAACACTATAAATTTTAAACGGTCTAAGATAGCGATTTGAAATTTGGAAGAGTTAATATAGGCTGAATGTCAAATTTTTTGACAATATGTAAAGGTAGCACTTCCGGTTTGAGCGGAAACGACAGCAACTTTTGAATTTTAAATGGCACAACGTATTTTTTTTTTCATTTTTGGATTCAGGAGATAATTCTACATAGAATAGGATAGTTTTCTCATTTTTTTCCTTTTTTAAATTTATATTGAATTTTTGAAAATTGTGTCTAGGAGGCTGTGACCATCATGAACGGGAAAAATTATAAATAAAACGTTTCTTCACTTATCTAATGGCAAATAGCATTTAATGTAATGAACCGTTAATTTTTTAGGATAACCTAGTTTTTGCAAATAGCACCCTAGTGGGAACAAAAACTTTTTTAAACCGGGACTTTTCTGCAACATTTCGACACCAAAATTTTCAAAATCTGTGAAAAAATAAACTCACAGGAAGGAAAAAAACAGATAAGTAAATAAATTTTTATAAAAATAAAATATTACTTACGTGGCTTTGCTTCTATTCATTTGTAAATTGATTATTGTTTTCCATGACAATCCAAATCAATAAGGCGACAAAATCGATAATCAGATAAAAATGTAACTGTCAGAATTTTCAATCATGCCGACTTGATGATATAATTCTTTTTTAGCTATTTATGATTTACAGATCTTCTGGATTCCTCCTGCATCGGTTGTTTCGCCAATCATCTTCAGAGCTTAACCGGACTAGTTGCAGTTCAGTTAAGCTCTTAATTTATAAATAACCGACGCAGGAGGAAACCAGAAGATATATAGATAGTATAGTATCAGTATTACTAAAGAAGTTTCTTTGAAAAATTAACTATTTGTTATTAAACGACTCACTCACTGATGCGTATCTAACAAATGTGATAAAAAATCATTACAACTTCATACTCTGTATCTCTAGATCGCACCAATTTAGAATATATGTTGATATGTTGCTGTTAGAATTTGTCAAACTCAAAAACTGAAACCATTTTAACAACCAATTGGCGTTTCAACTATAAAACACACATCGATCCCTTCAAAAACATCAAAAATTATATTGGCAGTGAAAAACGTGCGATTTTATTGGTTCCCATACGATATATAAATAATTATAACTAAATTATCTAAGGCGAATTCGGAAATATTCACTGTTTTGCACAAAATTTCAACAGCTCTTGGGAAGCTTTTTGCAATCTATGACATATAAGACCATTTTAGCAATTTTACAGCATTTTAAGCAAACTAATAAACATGTGCTTTCAAATAACCTTTTATAAACTCAAAATGTACATTGCTTTTAGTTACAGTGTAAATAATGTATTACTTGTATAGCCCTACCGATAATAATTAATCATACTTATTTAATTAATTAAATTGAATTTTTTTATTGAAACACAATTTTATATAATTATTACTTTGTTATTAATTCTACTAGAAAACCAGCTATTCATGTTTTTCTTTTTCCTTTTTAATAATAAAATTAGGTCTTTTCCAGTAGCATACTTATAAGAATTAGTCACACCATGATTTCCTGTTCTTTTTCTTAAACCTTAAGCAGTAGGAGCAGAATACTTTTATAAATTAAAATGTCTCTACATTAGCACAAAACTACAAAATTAGCCGAAATAAAGAAATAAATAGGTCATAAAAGAATTTGTTATGGATCAGAACTTTAAAAAATGCAAATGCAAGGGTAAGCAGAATATGAAGACCATACCACGTAGGAAAAATAAATGCCTCAACATTTAAGTTAATACTAAAATTACACTTATACGGGCAGTGTTATTTGTGTTTGTTCCGCACTCAAGTAAGGCAATCATCAATTTTTTAATTTTAGGTTATGATTTTACATTATTGAAACCATACTATTGTTTTGGTTAGTTTTAGTATAGTAAGTACCTACATATTCAGTAGATAGATGATAGTAGATGAAGGGTGATCAAAATAATGTAAGTTTAAGAACAAAATCTTTGTTAATGTAGATACCAGACAAACAATTTGTGATAAAAAATTATGAAATATCACGTACTGTTTAAAGTTTATTGAAACGTTGAAATTTTTATTTCAAGAAATACATTTCAACATTAATTAGCAAATACTGTCCGATTCAACTATAGAGTAATACGTTTAAAACTAAAAGGTTGCTGAGTAGATCTCTAGGTACCGCGCGCATCTATCGCCTTATAATGAATTTTTTTTTAACTATCGTTCAATATTAAAGCTCTGGGAGATAATTTTTCAAGGCTTTCAAATTGCGAATGCTTACAAAACAAACGAGATTCCCCAAATAGTTTCTATGCATTAGCGGTTCACACAAATTTTTACGCTAAATTAATTTTCAAGGCAAGAAAACGTGAAAAACCAAGTTATTATGCATAATAATAATAATAATAATAATAAAAATAATAATGCATTATGTTTTTTAATAGTTCATAGCAACTGATGAGTTTTTTTTTCAAACGTTGCTTTTTATTTGTCTTCTCTATTCGGCATATTTAATGGAACATATTAGATTCCATTATTTACGTATATGCTATTTATTTAGAAAATCCAAAAAAAAATGGAAAAATTTTGAAAATTTTTCTGTATTTTATTTCTATTTATTTGTTGGTAATAATCTCCAATTTAAAACGTAAAACAGGTCACATAGACCCTGTTAGAAACTCAAAATCTGACCACAAGATAAAGCAAATAACGGCCCTTTCAAAAGTGTCAAAAATGACATTGACAGTATAAAACGCGCCACTTCGTAGATTCCGATACGATGAATAAATAATTATCAATGAATTATCTAAAGCGACTTGTGAAATATTTATCAATGTGCGCTTTTCACAGCTATTAAGAAGTTTTTTGCAAACTACCATTCATTTTCGAGTAAAACCACACTGTTGACCCCTATTCGACAACAATTTTATAATATCGCGGAGACCATTAAACTACTAAATATAAATAAAAAAAATGTGTTGTTACGTACCCGATCTTTGTATTGTATTGGTTGTGTATTGGTAACCGCAAAGCACTGGAATTTACTTAATGGTTACGTGGAATCCACTCGAATTTTGGTTGTTTTTGGCGGGTTTTTTTCCAGAGACCGGCGCGAACCAGTGCGATCCGGTACCGGAGTCGGACTTCGAGGATGGTTCGAGCTGGGGTACGGAAAACAGGTAAATGCAACGTAGAGATTTGATGTTACGGTTTATATATGTACCTACATGTAGTCGGCGTTTTGCTTCGTAGTCGAACTTTAGTACGACGAATAAAATTTTGAAATGACATTTTCAAAAACTGGATTTATGGTTGACTATAAAATGCACTGATCGATTGTGAATGGGAAAATTCAAATAAAATACAATATTGCTGTTGGGGAACAACTAGGCGTGTACGTTGCCGGTTCAAAATGACTTTTGGTCTGTTCCTGGCATTTTGTTTTCGTCCAGACTTTATTTCGTCTGGAGCACGTCATTCCAGTTTGGTATATAAAATTTTTAATTTGGCAATGAAAACGAACCCAAAGACTTTTTTTAAATGTGCATTTTTATTATAAGAAAAAGTATGACCGTTTTAATAAAGCCAAAACCAAAGTTTAGAGAATTAAAATGTAAGTTGCCGCACTCTCTGTCGGCCCTTTGATGTGTCTTTGATGTGTTGAGCGGGGTATGTTTGTTCCGCGCGTAGCATATCTATATACGAGGGGGTTTCCAAAAGTATAATATATTTAATAATAAATAATATGACGCACTTAATAAAGTTATTTTCATTTTTACATAGTTTAGAATAAAAAATTTTTAACCACTATAAGAGTATATTCTTCCTGGATGAAAATATTGAATATTTAAATATATTTTCATAAGACTTAATGTAATCAAAGTTTAATAACTCCTTTGAAAAAGAAGGTATCAAGCTGAACGAAAAATTAGACGATTAAAAAAAAGAAAGCCTGAACTGTTTGACAATAAAACATTTCTATTGAAACTTGAAAAGAAAATTTTTATTGTCAAACCTTTCAAGCCTTGGTTTTTTTAATGGTTTAATTTTTCATTTTCGTCTAGTTATTAGGCTTTGTAGTAGAGCATGATTACATTAAGTCTTATAAAAATAAATTCTTTAGATATAGAAACCTTGAGAAATATCGATTCTGTTATTACATTTAGTTGTTTGTTGTTTTTAGTTAGTTGTTTTGTTGTTTAGTTGCCTTTGAAAAATTGAAAAATGTAAATAAACATTTTGAAATAATGTTAGTGTCTTTTTTGGACTCCTGTTTTCGAAATCTGTTTTTGGAGAAAAACGAGACATTTCTTCTTCTTCTTCTTCTTCGAATTTTAAAATTCCTTTTTTAACGAAATACATTTTAGTTGACTTATATCAAGTATTGCTCTTATTTTTAAATTTGAAATAGCCTATAACAATTAGATTTTTTTTAATTGCACCACTTTTCTTCCAAGAAGGCGATATATACATACATATATACGGAATAAATTTAGCAAAAAAAAAGTTGATTAACGTTTTTTGAACAAATCTGCTTTACACTTACATTTTTGGTTTTCTCCAATTGTTTGGATACAATTTAATATGATCTACCATAATCATTGGACATGACATGACATGAGTCAGTTGTTTCATCAACCAATTCCTTCAAATATAAGAAAGCAGTAAAGTACATGAGTCGTCCCGTTGTAAAGTAACACACACGCGCCGTATCGAAAATTGCCGGACAGGGTTTTTATTTGGCAATAAAATGTAATAGATTTTCTATTATTGAAAAATATGCATGTTTGATACAAAACAGACAAAAACAAAAAAAATGCATTCTGTATTTTCTCCGCTCCTTACTTGTAATTATTATTAATATTTATGTTTACATATCAATAGTTTTTCGATTACTTTCTTCTGTAATTTTTGCGATTAAAAAAAGATAGAAGCAAAGAGTATCAACAACATACTTCTGCTATTCAGTAAAAAACTGGCAACTTTATGCTACAGCTGTAAAAGCTAAAATTATTGTTGTACTTCGAAAAAAAAAGAACAACAAAATTCATATTTTTAAATTATATGAACTTCACAAAGCGAGGAACTTCGACCAGCTGCAACACTGGAAATAAGGGACATAAAACATAAACTAAAGGACAATAGAATTACAGATGAAATTGCTGCTGACATATTTAAATATGGAGGAAAAGGATTGGAGGAGCAATTTTTTTTCAAAGAAACTTCGATTGGCTACTGTAATATTATTAACAAATCTGCTGGATTCCTCCTGCATCTGATAAGCTAAAGGATAATAGAATTACAGATGAAATTACTGCTGAGATATTTAAATATGGAGGAAAAGGGTTGGAGGAGCATTTTTTTTTAAGAAACTTCGACCGGCTACTGTATTATTTACAAATATGCTGGATTCCTCCTGCATCTGATGTTTCTAAATAAAACAGGAAGTTTGGCGAAACGTCAGCAAGTCTGATTTATAAACAACCGAAAAATAGATAAAAAAGGAGACATAAGTAAATGTCAGAACAACACAAAATGCAAAAAAAATCAAAGTGGTTATTCAAAGCATCAAAGAAGCTTGGAATTAATAAAAAACTAACGTCTATGATGCAAACGGTTCTAAAAAAAGCCAGATAATATGGTAAGAAAAAACAAAAAATAATGAATAGGTTTGAGGTCAAGGAGAGAGTGAGACAGGGTGATCCGTTGTCATCAGTGTTGTTTAGTTCATTTCTGGAGAAGATCGTAAGGGAAGCTAAAATACATACATCAGGATTAGTGTATCAAAGTGGAAGAGAATAAGTATTTGGGAAAATACAGAACAGCTGATGTCAGGCAACCGCAGTATATATGCTTTGTAAGAGTAAAGAAATTTTCAGAGAAGCTAAATTTAGAGGCCCATTGAAAGCGAGGTGTGAACTCTGAACATGGTTGAGCAAAACACATCGGCTGTCTGGGAGAGAAAGATGCTTCCGAAGATTTGTGGCGGAAAGAAGGTGGGTGAAGAATAGATAAGCAGAGCAAATAAAAAACTCAAAAAACGCTTGAATGAACCTGAAAAACAGTGGGAATTGTAAAAGCCCAGCTGTTGAGATGGTTGGAGCATGTGCAAAGAATGAATAGGGAAGGAAACCCAAAAGCAATTCTCACGACCTCAGTTACGGGAAAGAAAAGGCAAGGAAAACCATGGTTAAGATGGAAGGCAGTGGTGAAAATGATAGCCGCATGGAGCGAAAAAGCAGCAAATAAGAGATCATGGAAAAAAATGATCCCATCCCATCTTGGTCTGGAATGCTAATATATAAACGAAAACTAGTTTGCAAAATAAAATTTTCATATAAAAATACATTATAGTTTAAGATTAACAAAAATTAGAAAATAACCAAAACTAATAGAAGATAATAAGCAGTTGAGAAAAAAACGTTGTGGAAGTTTATCTTGGAATATATTGATTGAATATGTAGTCAAACAGATTAGTTTTTTATTTTTCGAAATTTTGGTGCATGGATTTTCTTGTTCGACCATCTCATGACACAGGTAATGTAATGTTCTATTATCTGTCGCAAATAGCCATTAGCAAAGTAAAGTAACTTCGAATCTGCGGAGGGGACAGAATATTCGATAACTTTTATAACGAACTTTCGGATAAAACGAACATTATTTTTTTATAACAAACCAAAAAACGATATTTTACCGCTACAGCCTATGGATCACGGTTTCATTCACAGCTTCTTCCTTCAAAAATGGTTGATTTTATTTCCTGGAAGACAAAAATGATTTTTACTCAGACTATGACTTGGCATTAGCCAAATGGGTGGAAAAATTGAAATATGATAACAACATTCTACACAATATTTTTATTTTGAAGATACGGGATGTTTTTTGAAGTTTCGCCTTTTGGGGCACCCGGTGTAACTCGATTATTCTAAAGCTTATTAGAAAAGTAAAAAGTGGGTTGGTTGCCGTTTTTTACGCGGAATTCAGTGGTATACTCAGACTTTTTCTATCTTTATCTGTTTTTGAAATTATACATTTTTTATTTATTCACACTGTATATTTTTAAATTGATTTTGTCTAGAGCATTTCAAAAATATATAAAAGTTATGGTTGATATTCATTTTAATCCTGAAAACTATCTTTCTCCCCCTATCCTTAGTAACAAAAGCAAAACCATTGGTACATATAGATAGTGTTAACAGCTATCCAAAGAAACCAACCCAATGGTATTAAATTAGTACTGCCTCTGTGTAACCTAACTTAAAAGTACTAGACTATAACACATTGGGTACATGAAAAAGTAGTATATAATTTTTTTTTTCTCTTTCCTAATGATAACGCCTTTTATGACTTGAATGAATATTTAAAAGAAGTTAAAAGCTAAAATTAATAATTTTCCTATTGTTAATTCCATCTCTTTTTGATTTATTCGAAATTACAAAAATAAAAACAGCTAATTGATTTTAAAGTATTGCGCTTTAATTTATAAGTATCCTCTAATAGAAAATCCGTGTTTCATTGCACAGATATCGATCGCTAGTTAATCGCGAAAAAATTATCTTGTTTATTCCTTGGGTGTTTTACCATTTTTCGCTTACGAGTATGTATTCTTGCTTGCATTTACTAGTTAGTTATTTATTCCGGGAAACAGTTACCTAGAATTATGTAGGATGCTCTCGCCTAATTAGTTTTCATCGATTTGTACAACGATCAGGGGCGTAGCTGAGCTACTAAAAGTTTTTCTGGAAGTAACACTTTTCTGTTCCCACAACGGAAAAATGAATTTCTGAATTTACTTCAGAATTGCTACTATTTAGGTGACATTAAATTTCAAGTATATTTACAATGTTTATTTCATATTTTTGGTGAAATTAAGTAACATAAAATTAACAAATTTACTAAAATTTTCTACTAAACTTTTGTGAAATCGACAAATTACTGTAATATTTTCCTAATAAAAACATGGTTACTTGAGGTTCAGGTTACAATTACTAGATTTTTTAAGCAATATTTTGAGTCATATTAATTTGTCAGTTGGATATTCTTAATAATTTCAGTAAAATACTTATGTATTTTTATAATTTTTGATTGATTTTGATGGATTTAAATAAAACAGTGGTTGTGCTTAAAACGTTTTTTATTAAAACTAAACACATTTTATTTTACTCAGTACT